AAATGCTCAAAAATGGAAACCATTTTTCTCTTACCCTAGGAAGCACACGACGCTTGGAGAAGATGATAACAAATTGGCATGAATTTTAGATTAATTTCACGCTAATTTGGCCTTTAATTTAAACTTTAATGAATATTAAATTCATTTAATTGGGAAAAGACAAATTTACCCTTAATGAAACTTCATATTTACCATCCAACCAAGACACCTCAACCTTATCATCTTCTTAAAGTCAAAGATGAACAAACAAAATCTTACTTTATAGATTTGCCCTTGTTTTTTTCCAAAAATTACAATCTTGCCACTTTAATTCAACGGTCCAAATTAGACATGGAATTAAATCCTAAAATTTAAATATTTATATTATTTTCCAACATTTTAAAATGTGGAAATAATATTTTTAGGTCTAATTTCTCATCCTTTAGATTTTCCTAAATTTTCTATTCGGTCCGATTTATCTAATCTTTCCTCAAACTTCATTACTTTATAACTTTTAATACAAAATCCATACAAAATTTATGATTCCCATAGAAACATTATTATTGGAGTAAACTATTTATTTACGGGGCCAAATTGCAACTTTTTAAAATTACCATTTTGGTCCCTACTTTTTCAAAGTTTATACTTTGGTCACTTAACTTTCAAAATTTGCATTTTAGTCACTGTCTAAAATTTTGGGGTATTACACGACCAAACTTTTCTGCACACCAAACTATACAATATTTCTTGCCTCGGCAATACTTTTCCATCTGTTTATACCATTTGATCCAGTTTGCTTTCCTTTGTGACAAGAACCGTAGGACTAGCTTGTGACACCCAGTTCTAGATGTAGCAAAACATCAAAAATTCTCACCAATCCATGTGGAGACGATACTAAACTTTCTACTATATTACTTGCATTGATTGTATACACTTGTACAATTTGCTTGCCTTAGCATATAAATTCACAACTGGAGGAATTTTGATAATTTCTGCCATAGAAAATTTTATTTTCTTGTCACATTTTCTTTATTTATTTTTACTTATTTGTTTTCTTATTTTCTTTTGTATGTTTTCGCCGTTGCATGACCAGGAGATATGCTAACAAACCATTAATACCATTTGACCCTGAGATCGAGCAATCATTCAGACAAAGACGACGTGCTCAGCGTGCCAGAGACTATATGAATCAATTGCAGTATCAAGCTAATAACACAATGGAAGGCCAGGAAGATCCCGATGTCGCAACAAATAATATTCCCCAAAATGCTGCAAGACCACGAGCTATACGAGATCACCTAAATCTTATTCTCGATGATATCAACCCTGGAATCATGGCACTGGAAATATAGGCATCTCACTTCGAACTCAAGCCAATGATGTTCAACATGCTCAATTCTATCGGTCAGTTTGGTGGCTTGCCTAATGAAGATGTTAGACAACATGTGCGTGCTTTCCATGAGGTGTGCAACTCGTTTAGACAAAAAGGTGTGCACGAGGACGTGCTGAAACTAAAATTATTCCCATACTCTTTGCACGACCGAGCAAGAGCGTGGTTGAGTGGAGTCCCATTTGGATCAATGGAATTTTGAGCTGACTAGTGCAAAAATTTCTTGCTTAGATACAACCCGCCCAATATGCACACCCATCTCCGTAATGACATTGCAAGTTTTCGCCAAAGCGATGATGAATCTATGTATGAGTGCTGGGACAGATACAAAAGTTTGCTTCGCGAGTGCACCAATCATGGATTCCACGACTGGACTCAAGTCATCATGTTTTATAATGGTGTCAATGCACCTACTCGCATGATGTTGGATGCGTCGGCAAATGGCACCTTGCTTGAGAAAACACCCGAGGAAGCCTTTGATATCCTTTATATGATAGCCAATAATGAATATCAATTCTCGTCTACAAGTCTTGGAACCGGTAGAAAAATATCTGAGGTGTATGAACTTGACAGTAAGGATTCAGTTTCTGCCTAACTTTCTACCATAGCTAACATGCTGAAGAATTTGCAGCATTCCAGCAGGGTGAAAGAAGTCAGGGTAATTAACTCAGCAAACATTTTCAGCCGCGGCAACCATCATGAGAGTGAATGCCTAGAAAACCAGGATTCCATTAATTTCGTAGGCAATTTCAACAGAAGCAACAACAACCCTACTCTAATACATAAAATCCTGGATGGCGACAACATCCAAATTTTTTGTGGGGTAATCAAGGGAACAACAATAACAATTATGCAGGCAATTTTAATAGGCCACAGTAAAACATTTCTGAACATTGAAGTTCGAAACATCAACAAATGCCCTGGCAAGGTAACAACAAAAGTACTGCATCTTCGTCAAATTCTAACTCCCTTGAAGCTTCACTAAGAATTTATGGCCTCGAAAAAAGATTTCATGGCTTCAACAAAGACCTTGATACACGAGCACTCATCGACAATCAAGAATAAAGGTGCTTTATTACAAAGCCAAGCAGCACAATTACAAAGCCATAGCTCATCATTAAGATCGTTAGAGAATCAAGTTGGCCAAATAGCCACACCAGTACATTCTCGGTCTCAAGGAACCCTCCCCAGTGAGACTTAGGTCACTAAGCCTTATGGGAAGGAGCAATGCAGTGCGCTTACACTTAGGAGAAGTACCCGAATTAATCTTGATGATAAGTTTGGGGGAGAGAAGCAAGAAATTTTTGCAAAGGCACTACACATCAAGAATCTAAAGGTCAAGCTGAAATTGATGAATAAGAAAAACTGCCTAAGGAGAAGGAAAAGTTTCATCACCACCTGCGGTGGATGAAGTTAGACCTCCACCACCCTACCCTCAGTGGTTGAAGAAGCATAATGACGAGATCTAGTTCAAAAAGTTTGTTAATGTCCTTGACCAGTTGCATATCAACGTTCTATTACTTGAAGTCATTTAGAAAATGCCTTCCTATGCCAAATTCTTGAAGAACATTGTCACAAAAAAAGAAAGGTGGATAGAATAGAAATTGTTTCCACGGCGACAGAATATTATTCGGCAATGAGTAAACTTCCGCTAAAGCAAAAAGATCCTAACATCTTTGTTATACCATGTTCCATTGGTGACAAATATGTGGGAAGATCTTTCTGTGACTTGGGGACAACCACCACCATCATTTGTATCGACTATGGAAGAATATATAAGAGAAGCTCCACAAATACGCTCCGTCCAACATAGGCTAGTGAGTTGAACCTCTTTCACTTGGATCTCTCAAAACTCTAATAACTTGGTTTAATGAGTTATTATGATGTTAAAGGAATATGAACAAAAAGAGCAATTACCCCCACCCCAACAAGTAGAAGAAAAGGAAAAAGAAACAGAAGAGGAGAATAAAGCATCGGCAGATGAAGAAGAGACATAGCTAACGGAGGAACCCAAACCACTTGTGTCAGTTGATGACAATACAGGAGATTTGTTGGTAAAATTTTGCACTTTAAATTTTCTTAACAAATTGATGAACTTTTATTAAATAATTTTTTTGTTTGTGAAGGGTTTGAATGAAATTAACCCAAGAGCTTTAGAAATAGAGGAAAGTAATGCATTGGCTCTTGCAATAGTTCCAGCAAGTACTGCCACTATACAACATCTCCAATTACCCCTTCCTAATGTTGTATTAATTTTAATGTATACGTTTTTTGTCTTATAATAATAATCAAGGCAATGTTTCAACACCAAATCGTGGTTTAAGTGAAATTAGTGGTACGGGGTGGGAGCTAGCACTTGTTACAACACCTAGCAACCATATAACTCCACCCATGGAAAGCAAATTCGTTAGTTTTTTTTTATTGATCAGTTTTATGTGATTTTTTTTAATAGATTTTTAGTGTTTACTTATTGCCTTGTATTTTGATAGGCCGGAGGATTTGATAAATTATTACTGGATAGTTTGTATGAAGATGATGCTGCAAGAAAACACATACAATTAAAAAAATGCAGGATATAGATACGAAAATATGAATGTTGAACAAAATTTATTCCAACATGATCCATTTACAATGTCCAATAACATTGCAACCCCAACAATTGTACAAATGGCCTTACTAGCTCAACAACAAATGATGATGATGATGCCTTATCAACAGCAACACGTGACTTCTTCTAACCCATTTGGAGATCCAGTTTTTAACCTCTCACCAGCTTCTACATCTCAATCAGGAAATCATACATTACTTTAATCTATATTAATTTTCAATGTACTTGTAACTTTATTTGTTTGAAATAGAGGATGTATTTGTTTGTTTCGATATTAAATATACTCTACGAATTAATTAAACTTTCCATTTTAGTTGTATACATGCTATATAAAAGAAAGGGTTATACTTTTTTCAAACTTACCCTTTATTATGAGAAATTTATAATCGAATTCAAAATTTAGGTAAATGATCACCTACCATTGCATTGGATTCGATGTGTTAACTTCAGCCCTATCCTATCACTGATGTTTGGAAGAAAAATCTATTTTAATCTTCTTGTGTTGGGAGATTATTTATCAACGTAGTTGAAAATATTGGTGGAATTGGCTAAGATTAGATGAATATACAACACGTCTCTTTTAATATCCAGCACGAGGTGCCTTGTTTTTATGCAAAAGGCAAGTGGATGAAAATACTAGTTTATTGAGAAGGGTAAATTTGGTTGTTTGAACCAGTCTGTTTTTCTTTGTATCTTCATCTTTAACCAACACATTAACTGGAAAAGCTTTATTGCAAAATTTACATTAATTTGCAAAGTTGATGAATTGAAGACTAAAGAAGCAAAAGGGTGAAGTGTTTATGCGTTTGTGTTTCCAAATTAGCCAAGACAAGAACAGGCCTGTGAGAAGGAGAGCGGAAAGCAAATGCTTGGTTTAGAATATAGATATAGGTAACCTACACAAATCATCACTCGACTTTTTCTTGATCATTAAACTTAAATCAAGCAAAGTAGTCATGATTTACTGTTGTAGTAATTCAATAAATATCATCGCAATTTACAATAAATGTGACAGATAACATAATCAAAGACCAAAACCATTCTAATTAAAACTAGCTATGATAATGTCCATTTCCTTTTTAACAATTATTAGATTTGTCGCAATTTCTTGGATCTACAACCCCATACATCTGAGATCCTAGTTCCTATGGAAGTTAAATATCTCTATTCGAAGATGATTTCTGTTAAGCCAGTTCTAGAATGTCCATGGTTACCACAACATTCTTTCATATAGCTCTAGCAACAACCACCAAATTCTCTCTTCTCCACATTCTTACAACCATGCCTAGTCTCATGCATTGGAATGTCTATAGCAGTGTGAGGTGGCTCACTATTATCTGCAAAACACTTGTTCGGATATGGAAGACCCACTGGGTTTGGGGCCTCCAAACAACAATGCTCTACAAAGTTTCCTAATGCTTTAAAGTCAGTATGGTTTTCGCCACAAGTGGAATGATAAGGATCGTCTTTTTTCTCTTCCTGATTGGACAAGTGATGTAGATCCCCCTGGTTTTCCCCACGGAGATCATTCGATTCTACGCACAAGCCTGAACAGCAGTTGCTGGGATTGTTGCCCCCAATCTCGTGATTGACAATGTTACAACTTCCCTGGTCACAATGCTTTGCTTCATGACTATGACAAGTATCATGTGTCCCTAAACATTTACCGCTCCCACATGAATTTGAAGATGAATGTGACTTGGAATTGCTAGATTGACATCTTGAGGCACAGCTAGAAGAGGAACACTGTTGGGGCTCACATGCCTTTCGGACCTTTTTGTCTACGTTACCATGTCGAGCATTATGAGATGAATGACAATGGCTGGTTTTACATCCATGTTTGTCCATATGTGATTTAGCTGAAGACTTGCAACATTTTCCTGCATGTTTGTGTGTTCCTTGTAAAAGGAGCATGCTATTGAAGATAACCAACAAGCATGTGCCGACATCAGCAAGAACCGCTGCCCACACAAGTGGATGACCAGCAAATGCCAATGCCAGAATAGCCACCTTAGTTCCGATAGACAAAATTACATTCTGAATCACTTTACTTTGAGCCTTTCTCGCCAGTTGGATAGCTTTTGGTATCTTTCTGATGTCATTTGACATGAGAATCACATGCCCTGTCTCTGTTGCAAGGGCAGAACCCGAAATGCCCATCGAGATACCAATATCAGCTGTAGCAAGTGCAGGTGCATCGTTAATGCCATCTCCAATCATTGCTGTTGGCCCTTCTTTCTTAAACTCTTTGATTCTTCTTGCCTTGTCTTCGGGAAGAAGTTCTGCATAGATCACATCTAGACTATTCCCCAGCTGCAAGTAGTATAAATATAAGATCAATCATTTCTTATCCACTGGGATTTAGACTTTCCAGCTTAAGCTAAATAGAATATCAATAACTAGAACAGAAGTTCTACACAATTTATGCACAGAGTTCGTAGTGTCAACATTACTATTTGGATTTGTATGAAATCATTTGTAGCATTTCAGGCAAAAAGTTCAAGGCCCGGTTTATCATAAGTTATTGGAAGTGCACCTGTTCTTGTACGTGCATGGCTGTTGCTTGATTGTCTCCTGTTAGCAAAGCAGTTTTGATCCCCATTGACTTCAGCTCATTTACGGCCTCTCCAGCACCGGTTCGACAAGCATCCGAGAGACTGAAGATTCCAGCAGGGTTTGCTCCACAAAATACATATCCAATGGTCTTACCTTCCATCATATTGCCTTTTAGAATTGGAGCTATATACATGATACTCGCATTAGAATATGAAATCAGAATGCTTAACAATTTGGTTCTGCAATTGATCGTGTTACTAATTGTATTCTGAACTGAGGTCTATTAAATAAGCTGAGGCAAAAGAAACAAAAGTTTTCACCTGTTCCATGAGCTCTCTCTGATACTTTTCTGCTTCCGATGTAAATATCTCTTCCATCAATTCTCCCATAAATACCTTCTCCAGGGAAATTTTGATAATCCTCCACAGTTTCAGGCTCTGGTTCAATTGAATGTGATCTTCCGTATTCTACAAGTGCAGCTGCCATTGGATGACTTGACTTGCTCTCAATGCTTGAAACCCTTCAAAAATATTGTAAGAAATATTAACATCCAGTAGCAGATTTCTGCTTACTTGGGTAAATAGAATCAAATTTATTAACACGAAAAATGGGAAACGTGCCACTGCTGCAACAACTGAAAATATGAATTCAATTGCTTGATTCCTTCAATTTTCTAATCAAAGTAACCACTAATCATATAAAAGTATCAAAGAACATACCAGTAAAGCAATGTGTTGAAGCTTGTATCTTCGCAGAGAGATTGAAAATCGGTCACAATAAATTCGCCCCTGGTAAGTGTGCCAGTTTTGTCAAAAGCTGTGATGTTAATCTTGGAAAGAGTTTCGAGATAGTCGCCCCCCTTAACCAGAAGTCCTGATGTTGCTGCTCTTGTAAGTGCACAAAAGGTGGCAACAGGAGTGGAAAGGATAAGCGCACAAGGACATGCACTCACCAACACAACCAATGCCAAGTGAAACCAGTAGTGAAGGTTATGCACTCTCAATGCAGCTGGAATCACGGCAATGCTGGTTGATACAACTATAATTGCTGCAAATAAGATGAATACTATTACTATGTTTGCACTTGATATTGTTTCCTTCCCTAGCTAAGTTAATCTCCATTAATGTAGAAAGATTGTAGTTAAGAGAAGACCCTGATAAATGCTTAAGCCTAGATGAGAATGAAGTAACCTGGGGTGTAGAACTTAGCACATTTGTCTATAAATCTTTGGGTGGTAGATTTGCTGTTTTGAGCTTCCTCCACGAGCTTTGCCATTTTAGCCACTACACAGTCTTCAGCCACGGCTGTGGTTTTCAGGCTAATGTAACCTGTATGATATTATAGAAATTAGAACCCAAAATTCCATGTGCTTAAACAAAATAAAGTGATGTTACCATTTAGATTGATGGTGCCAGCCCAGACGGTTGAATCCTTTTGTTTGGGAACAGGAAGTGATTCTCCGGTGAGAGTTTTCTCGTCCACTTCACATATCCCATCGACGACGATCCCGTCAATGGGTATAACTTCACCAGCTTTGACTGCCAGCACAGTGTTCAATTTCACTTCATCCGCATCCACTTCTTCTCCGCTCTCTGCTATCACCGCTTTTTGAGGACTTATACTCATCAATGAACACATTACTGCAGTAGCCTGACATAATCATGCTTAAAGTTAACCATGTCCTCTTTTTTTATTTATTTAAAGACTCTTGTTGAAATTTGTATACGATTTTAGGTACATAATGAGTCGTGGCAATTAAAATATAACAAACCTTATGGCTTGCTCTTGACTCCAGCCATTCCGCAGTGGTGAAGAGGAAGACTATAGTGGCGGCTTCAGTGTAGTCCTTCATTGCTATGCTCCCCATCACTACAACAAACGAATAACAGATACCATACTTCAAATTCTCTTTTCTTTGATATTAACAAATAACAATTTAAACGCATTTCTTTGTTATATTTTATATAAGACGTTCTACTTTTTATTTACAATGAATTAGGCCCAGTTCTCTAAAACCTGCTCCCTTTTTTCCTTTTAAAAATAACTAAAATATTTTTTTACTATAAAAGTAAATAAAATTTTCCTTTTAATGTTGATTTAAATTATCAAAATTCATCTTAAATATGTATATTTAAAAATTCTCATATTGATATTGTTGTGTGCGTATTAAAAAATAAGGTTAAGTTTATAAAAAATAATAATTTTCTAATGATTCATGTTCAATAATGCAAATAAACTGGAAAATGCCTTGCTAATAATGATCTATTTTGGATTAATGAAGGCTGATTATGAATCAATACTCGTCAAGAATACATGGACCGGAAATGACCCAAACATTGTATAGACCACATTGAGCACTTTAAGATTTATTGGGAAAATATACGAAAGTTTTCTGCATTCCCTTTTGTTTCGGATTAGAGTTAACTACGAAATGAAGATAAAACTTAAATGAATTTAGATTAAAATGATAAGAAGCCAAAAATAATTTGATTATATTCCAAATTCAACACTAAAAACAAATGCAATTATCAGTTTTATTTGATTAGCCCTAATAAAAACATGTGATCCAAAAAAGACCTAATTGGATTCCACCAGAAAAAGGATGTTAGAGATAAGGGATAGCAGTTGAGGTGTTAGATTGGGACAATCACATAGAGCTTAAAAAGGGGTGGGAAGAGAGCAGAAAGAAATAAAGTAGAAGGGAAAACAACTAGTAATGGCAAAGAGAAATCTTAAGGGACTCCAATACCAATTCCTATTCTTTTGTTTTTTCTTAATTCTTACGGTCATCCTAAAAGGAAAGCTACAAGCGGACGCTACCCAAAACTATCTGATAGTTGCCTTTTATGTGCAATTCCATTTTTGGCGATTGCAATGCTAAACCCAAGTCGCAGCTTGTTACCACCAAAATAAATTGTTCCTGGAAGAACCCAGGATTCATTATATCTGAAAAATGTTTTCTTTTTTAAACATAATTAATTTTTTTGATGATGTTTTTAAAGCATAATTATATTTATCGAGTAGCAGGTCCATTCCTGAATCACGTCTGTCTAAGGTCCTTTTTACTTAAACGCCTAAAATTATTATCATTTTCTTAAAATCATATTTAATGTTACCTTTTGTTTTTTTTATTATCTATCATTAAAAAATTAACAATGATGCTAATGTGGTATTTTTAAATTATCTTTTCACTTTCCACTTAATTATTAGTTTATGATTTTTTTATAAGATGAAGAAGATTGAAATCTAAAGTGGGCACTCTTAAAAGAGGAATATACTTATTTTATGTGAGTAATTAGATGATTAATAAAATTACTTGATATTTTATTTTTATTTGATGTATTTATTAGATAATTTATTAAACGCATTAAAAACATTTACATATGAATTTATTTAATTTTACTTATTCTTATTATTTAAGTTTTAAAAAATCCTACAACGCTCTACGAGTAACGATGAGCACCGCTAACGATGAGCACCATTAATTTTAAATTTATAAAATTTTAAAATTATAAAGTACTCAACGTGTAATTATAAATTAGTTTAAAATCTAAATGCAAATTATTTAAAATAAAAATATTAATTACATTATTTTTATAGGGTAAACTACAGATTTACTACCTAAAGTTTCACTTTTGGTACATTTTAGTACCTGAACTTTCAATTTTTACAAAATCAGACCTAACTTTTATTTTTTGTTTCATTTTGATACCCGTTGTTAAAAACTTAACTATTGACATGGCATAATGTGATAATTTTCTTTTTTAAATTGCTACATCACATCAGCAATCAAATAATATATTTTTATTCAGCTTATAAGGTGATGACACATGTCACCACCATATTGCAATAAAAGTGAAATAATTGTGCTTAGCATGGGAATTAAACCCACCCTCCTCGGAGGAGAAGAAAAGGCTTGGCCACTAGGTTAACAAGGTAATTGTCACTCTTTTACCACAAAATATAATTACCATTACCAAACAAGATATTTTAATTAAAATTTGGACATAAACTTAGGACTTCTCAAAAAAAATAGTGTACAAATCATTAAGCTAATCTATAAAATTAATTATATAAGATCAATTTTATATTTAATTTATATAATTATTTAATCAAAGACTAAATTATTTTAAATCTAAAACATTTTTTAGTGTAAACTATACAAAATATTAAATCCTTAAAATAAATATTATTTTTGAACTTCATAAATCTATATTAATTTCATATTAATTAAATAAATATAAAATTTTAAATTATTTACGATAAAAATAATTTTAATATTTATTTATTTTAAATTTATATTATATGATCATAAATAAATATTTTAAATTTATTTTTTAAAATAGTTTAATATTGATTTTTTAAAAACATATATTTAATTATTTTTATTTAAAATAAAGTTAAGAAAATTTAATTTTTAATTAAGTAATTTGGTTTATAATGAAAAAAATATTTTGTATTTTTAAATAATTTAATATTTAATTAAAATTTGTTGTTCTGGGGTGGTAATGGAAATAATTAAATATGGGTTATGGTGATTTTTATACTATTAACTTGCTTAGCCTTCAATTCCTTGGATGCACACAGATTTTGTTGGTTTTATTTCATAGGGTGGTGACACGTGTTATCATCCTTTTAGCGGAATAAAAATATATTATTTGATTATTGACGTGTTAATTTAAAAATAATAAAAAATTATCACATTATGTCACGTCAGTTATGTCATTAAGTTTTTAACGACGAGTATAAAATAAAACAAAAACTAAACATTATGTATGAATTTGTAAAAATTGAAAGTTCAGATATCAAAACGTACAAAAAATGAAACTTTAGGTACTAAATGTATAGTTTACCTAAACAATTTAAGTTTAAATTTTTAACTAATTTATAATTATACGTTGAGTACTTTATAATTTTAAATTTTTATAAATTAAAATTAATGGTGTCCATCGTTAATAATATTTATTATTGCTCGTCGAATGTAGAAAAATCATCCTTAAGTTTTTTGATACTTATTATTGGGAGTCTAATTTTCATCCATAAGTTTTTTTATTTTTATTATTGAGAGTCTAATTTCTATGTTCACACTATTATTATTATTATTATTATTATTGTTGTTGTTGTTGTTGTTGTTGTTGTTGTGATAAACACAATTGACTATTTAAATGTCAGAAACGGGCTGAGTAGGTCTATACATTTGTAATCTTTACTAATGAGATATAACAAAGCGACTTTTCTACTTTTCTGGTTTTTGTAAGGTGATCATCAAATTAAAGACCTCACAACTCGACGAAAAATGATAGAAATTATGGAGGTTCTAAATGACGTGACCAAATACCTCAAAATATTGAACCAATCAAATTTCACATAATTGAGAAAAAAAATTATCTCAAAAAAGAAAAATAAGATATCCTCCGATGGTGGATATAATGTAAGATTTAAGGTGTACATCCCCACCTTTTATATATTAATTTTTTCCATTTATTTATAATGTATACTCTAAAATTTTATTATTAATATATATATAAATTTTTAAAAATATTTTAAAATCCGTAATTATTGTATCCTACTGTGCATTATTATTGCGAGAGAACCTTTACGTCTTTGAAGGGTTGGACTCCCACCTCCAAAAGTTATGTACTAAAAATGTAAAAGATAAAAAGAAGGGGGCAAAAGAAAACACTAAAGATACAAAGGCACATATTAAAGACAACAGTAAAGATATAAAGGCACTGATAAACCACATAGTTCTGTTATTGTGCTGCATAAATTTCACCAAATTCACTTAAACCCAAGCAAGTCCAGAAGGAAAACATTTTAAATGCTTTTTTCCACATTTATTTTCAAATCTAAGGTACCTTTTTTACCTTAAAAAAGAAAAACCCTCACTCCTCTAAAATTATTTAACACAGTTTGAAAAGTTAAAGCAAAGGACACTTTTTTGTTCCACATTTATATAATTAAAATTTAAAATTAAATAATACAAGGATAAGTTATGTATTTAGTACATAAGCTATTAATTTAATTTATTTTAGTATTTAAACTTTTATTTTTTTAAACCATACAAAATAATTAGTTTTTATTTTATTTTAGTACATCACCGTTAAAAATTTAACATGATTATTACACAAACTATTAATTTTTATCCATTTTAATACCTAATTTTTTTTTAAAAATTTAACATTAAATTTTAAACGGATAGTAAAATAAAATAAAAAATTAAACTTTAAGTATAATTTTAAAAAATTAAAAATTTAAATATCAAAACGAATAAAAATGATAATTTAAATACAAAACACATAATTTACTTAAAATAAAAAGAAGATGACGTAACTTTAACCTTGGGTCAATAAAAGGTTGACAACTAGTCCAGAGCCACGTCAAAATCACGTAATTGTCACATCAACAAAAAAAAAAGAACAGAAAAAAACTTTAAATACAAATAAAAGTACAATGGTATTAAAAGCTTTGTTTTTTTCTTTAAAGAGAGAAAGTTAGGTTGTTGGCCCGTGATGAATTTTGCATGCGCTAATCAGATGAACGATTAGTGTGCGAAAATGGAAAGGAAAAAGGGTATTTAATTGAGAAGGTTATATCAGATCAACAATAATAAAGCGATGTACTATTGGTTGAATCAGTTTGATTTACGAGCGTTCATCATTAGAGTAATCTGAAGTTGAGAATTTTTATCCCAGTTATATGGCATAAATATGTCATGAAAAATATGCCCAGAATTAATAATTAGTTTTTTGCTCAACAAGAAACGCATGCATCCAAGTAAGTATAACTCTAAGATTTGTTGATTACCTGCAATCAGCAAGAGAATGTTGATATCCAGCCTGAAATTGGTGATGGCCGCATAGCCCTTCAAAAGGACGGGGTAGATGCCAACAACCACCGCTGCCACAGCTGCCCATTGCAAAGGACGGTACACATACTTGAAAAGGGATATCAAAAGCAGCAACCCACAGGCTGCTGCAAAAGGGCTTGGCCATTTCTTTTGGTACTTTATCTCCCCATGTGCTCTCACATTTGCTTCCAGTCTTGCTTGGTTTAGAGCTTTTACTGTTCAAATTTAACATCCAATAAGCCCAAACTCAAAACATTTGTTGCTTTCCCCAATCATTTCTTAATATAATGGCCCCACTCTTAGCATCAAACCAAACATGCTTCTCCTCTCATAATAAAGCTGCCCAATCATATAATTATATCATTCCTAATTTAATCACAAATGAGATTTTAAAATCAAGTTTTTGTATATATACTTCTAAAAAATCTTGTCAGTTTTTTTATATAAAAAAACAAACTATCACGTCATTCTCACCAACGTATCAAAATATTAAAAAATTTACAAAATCAAATTGTATATATATTTCTTTTTCCTTTATAAGTGGAACTTCTGGCATAAGCTTAAAAGCCGTTTCTTTTCTTCCTTTTTCCGAGGGGGAGTGGTTGTCCAAAGCCGTTTCGAGAACAACAAATTAACATCTAATGTTAAAGAAGATAAAAAAGAAAAGGTTTACCGATTTGAATCTGAGAAACAAGGAGATTATCGTGAAGAACAATGACGGTTCTGGTAGGAACAATCACAGATACTTCTTTCACCCCTTCAACTGATTTCAATATGTTTTCTATTAGCGGAACCTCAGAGGAACAGCATAGTCCCAACACATCAAAGTAGCTCTTCTGCAGGTTTTTCTCATTTGCATCCATTTCTTCTCAGTTGCTGCAAACAAGGAAAATCAATATTTAGAAGCTGATCCAGTTTGAGGTTTCTCAATTGACTGAAAGAGAAGAGAAAAACATAATCATGAAAGTTTGAAGATGTTTCCAGTTGTATTTTGATTATAAAAATCGCTGTGATTAAAGAGGAGAGAAGATTTTGGAATTAGAAACATTACCTTTGTAGGAGAGGAGAGTTGGAGTTGGTCCAGGCTAGGAAGGGTTTAAGTAGAGATGATTGTGAGAACTGTTCAGTGAGACGACATAATTAAGAAACATAAAAGACAAAATGAAGTGTATGATAATAATTAATATATCAAAGAAATAATCTCTAGTGAATTTTTTGTGTGTGATTTTGGATGGGAGTGGGGAATATAATGGACTTATCTCTCTCACCTTTCTCACCCAAATAATGCAGAATCAAGGTTTGCAATGGAATCCACGTAGGAATCCACGTTTTTTCCAGAATTTTATTTTTTAGTCATATTTTCGTTAGTTTTTATGAATTTTGTTTCATCCATAACTAGCACATTTGTCTATAAACCTTTGGGTGGTAGATTTTCTGTTTCGGGCTTCCTCCACGAGCTTTGCCATTTTAGCCACTACACAGTCTTCAGCCACGGCTGTGGTTTTCAGGCTAATGTAACCTGTATGATATTATAGAAATTAGAACCCAAAATTCCATGTGTTTAAACAAAATAAAGTGATGTTACCATTTAGATTGATGGTGCCAGCCCAGACGGTTGAATCCTTTTGTTTGGGAACAGGAAGTGATTCTCCGGTGAGAGTTTTCTCGTCCACTTCACATTTCCCATCGACAACGATCCCATCAATGGGTATAACTTCACCAGCTTTGACTGCCAGCACAGTGTTCAATTTCACTTCATCCGCATCCACTTCTTCTCCGCTCTCTGCTATCACCGCTTTTTGAGGACTTATACCCATCAATGAACACATTACTGCAATAGCCTGACATAATCATGGTTAAAGTTAACCATGTTCTCTTTTTTTATTTATTTAAAGATTCTTGTTGAAATTTGTATACGATTTTAGGTATATAATGAGTGGTGGCAATTAAAATATAACAAACCTTATGGCTTGCTCTTGACTCCAGCCATTCCGCAATGGTGAAGAGGAAGACTATAGTGGCGGCTTCAGTGTAGTCCTTCATTGCTATGCTCCCTATCACTACAACAATCAAATAACAGATACCATACTTCAAATTCTCTTTTCTTCCATATTAACAAATAACAATTTAAACACATTTCTTTGTTATATTTTATATAAGACGTTCTACTTTTTATTTACAATGATTAGGCCCAGTTCGACTAAAACCTACTTCCTTTTTTCCTTTTAAAAATTAACCAAAATATATTTTTTTACTATTAAAGTAAATAAAATTTTCCTTTTAATGTTGATTTAAATTATCAAAAATCATCTTAAATATGTATATTTAAAAATTCTCGTATTGTTGTGTGCGTATTAAAATAAGGTTAAGTTTATAAAAAATAATAATTTTCTAATGATTCATGTTGAGTAATGATTCAAATAAACTGGAAAATGCCTTGCTAATAATGATCTATTTTGGATTAGTGAATGCTGATTATGAATCAATACTTGTCAAGGATACATGGACCTGAAATGATCCAAAGATTGTATAGACCACATTGAGCACTTTAAGATTTATTGGGAAAATATACTAAAGTTTTCTGCATTCCCTTTTGTTTCGGATTAGAGTTAACTACGAAATGAAGCTAAAACTTAAATGAATTTAGATTAAAATGATAAGAAGCCAAAAATAATTTGATTATATTCCAAATTCAACACTAAAAACAAATGCAATTATCAGTTTTATTTGATTAGCCCTAATAAAAAACATGTGATCCAAAACAAGACCTAATTGGATTCCACCAGAAAAAGGATGTTAGAGATAAGGGATTAGCAGTTGAGGTGTTAGATTGGGACAATCACATAGAGCTTAAAAAGGGGTGGGAAGAGAGCAGAAAGAAATAAAGTAGAAGGGGAAAACAACTAGTAATGGCAAAGAGAAATCTTAAGGGACTCCAATACCAATTCCTATTCTTTTGTTTTTTCTTAATTCTTACGGTCATCCTAAAAGGAAAGCTACGAGCGGGAGCTACCCAAAACTGACTATCTGATAGTTGCCTTTTATGTGCAATTCTATTTTTGCCGATTGCAATTCTAAACCCAAGTCGCAACTTGTTACCACCAAAATAAATTGTTCCAAATCTAAATATGGCCGAATAGAGTTTATGAATAAAATAAATAACAAGTGTCTATGATAATACATGCCCGTACTATGTAAGAATAACAAATATGGAAATCCCAAATCTAACGACGAGCTCTTCAAATGGCACCGAAGGACCAGCGCATGAAAACACATTCCTTACATTGAGTTCACAAGCTCAGTGCCACAAATAACCTTACTATACTACATGCATCCAACATATAAGCATGCTACGAGTATGGTTTATGAACGGGTTTCAAATAGCGGTGTCACGCGCCGTTATATCGCGGTCGCGGCGGTGTCTGAAACCACTATCGCAGAAAATAACGGTGTGAAGCGGGATCACACCAATAGCGGCGAATCGGGTCGTAATTTAGCGGATCACGGCCAATCGCGACAATAGCGAACCGATATTACATTATTATTCCATTATTTTAATTTTTTTTTAATAAAACATGTTTTTTTATTAAAAAAAATTAGTTTCTTTCACGATCGCGATATCCGCAATGACCGCAATAGCATCTGTTGTATCTGCAACCGTTATAAACGCGACGCGACCGAAAACGTGACCGCAAACGCTATTTAAAACCTTGGTTATGAATATTTGCATACAATAGCACAACAAAAAAGTAAGAATCATGGTATAGCTCTGGGTTACTCAACATCATGTAACTCACACCCTATTTGCTTACCAAGAACCTTAGGCAAGACCTAGGTCACATAGCGTCAGCATTTCCTATACCTTGAGCTAGGTCTGTGATGTGAACTGATTCAACATCATATTCATCCTTGTATCTCCAATCTTTCACAAGATTCAAAAGGGGACTTTCTCTAACTTGTTCTTTTTCTACATTATGTTTTTTATGATATGAATATATGATTCATATTACATTTTCTATGACATGGATATATTTATTTATATATGTTACATTTATAATAATAATATTCATTCATTATCATATGATGCATAAATTATTATTATAACCTATATTCCATATCTTATATTATATACATTGCTACTTTATATTAATTAATATACTTAACTTAAATTCTATGTCTTTTGATGAAGGTACATATGGCTACACTTATGAGAGCTGAATTGAGCTAAAGGATGAAGTCTAAGGAAAGAAAACTTACATAGGAGCACTCAGGAGAGCATAAGAATCAAGTGGTGAAAAGTTGTCCGGTGAGAAGTGAGCTCACAGCTGGATTGAGCTAAAGATTTAAGCTAGAAGAAGACTTCAATTCAGCTGGGGAGCTGCACCAACATCATCTATGACCAAAAGGCATCATATTTTTGAAAATTTATTTTTCTTAAATCGTACATTTTCGAGAAAAGGTGTCTTTTCGGGACATACCTTTTCATGAGGAGTTGCCAAATGAACCAATACATTAAGGAGCATCAATGGTCAGCTCATCATCAACTCACTCACCATGCAACCTACCTATTCATGAAGAGTTTCCATTCAAACTTCATGACTATTCATAAAGGTGCTTCCATAGAATGATTCAATTGAATTAAGGTGTGCATTGGTGAAGTTAATTCGATCAAAAGATGTTTAAAATGCAAAGAGACATGAGGAAACCAATGTGCCTATTCGGTCAAGTACCACATGCATTGCACAAGGGGGAAGTTTGGCGCCAAAGTGAGAGCACAAGTCTATTCGGCTAAACAAGAAGTAACCACTGTTAGTCAAATCATCATGCCTCCGAACCATCTCCATGCCAAAGGACTTATTCATTGTTTTAAAGCATTATGTACATTCATTTAAACACATTCATTGGCCAAATCATTACATGCCTATTTGGCCAAGGCCTTTTTTCCCTATAAATAGGAAGTCTTTTCATTTGTAAGACATATCTCATTTTCTAATCAAATCTCTTGTGAGTTAAATCTCTCTTTCAAGTTCTTTAAAAACTATATCGATTAAAAAAGTATATTTATATACTTGTGGCGTCATTTTATTCACTTTGATTTTTATAATTCCTAGATTCAATATCTAATGGGTTTAAGACACTTCTACTATCCATCAAACAAGTTTATAAAGAACGGGGATTTGCTTCTTAGCATTGTTTCTTCTTCGAAAGTTTGAGATACTTTCATCACCATAACAGTCCATCCTCATCAACTTTGTCCACCATCTTCATCAACACTATTGAAGACCATCATCATCATCATCATATTTCTTCCACTACCAACTCTTTTATTACTTTATTTCTATTTCATTTTACTTAAGTTTATATTATTTCAATTTCTAATATTTCCTTTAACATTCCTTTGTTTCAGCCATACTTAAAATTCAAGGGAATCATTTGTTATCTCTCCTAGATCGGGAACACAATAACACTATTTATTCTCTTCTTCCTGAAGATAGTAGATTCACCTTACATCAAGCGGTATTCAGAGCTCAGTTGGATTAACACAAAGAAGTGTCATTGGCTTGCAACATATCAAAACAACAAAAAGAAGTACAAATCAAATTCAAGACTCCTACAACACACAAAGGAGTACAAAAACAAAAGAAAAGAACAAAAAGAATAAATTCAAGCAAATAAAAGAAAAATAAAACAAAAGAAGGTTCATTACAATTCCAAGACCAAAACAGTGGAGGCATATCTACATCAACCATAATTGAAGGAGACATCCTTATTGTGTCTCAAGAAAGGGTGTAGTAAGTGTTGTTCTTGGATTGTAAGTTTTCCATTTTCTTATTTTCATTTTTTCCTAAACCATTTCCTTTATTTCCATTTTTTAT